AACATGCTGAAATTAGAATTAAAAAAAAAACAATTTTAAAAAACTAGCGACATAAAAAAATATTAGTTAAGACTGTTTACTACCACAAACCTCTACATGTTTTTATGAGCTTTATCTTTTTACTGAACCATTCTTTGAAACAGGTACAAGTAAGCAAGGTCTTTAGGGGGATGTTCTGATATGGCAACTTTCTCATCATTAAAAATAACCCATTGCCCATCTTTTTTAATGTGACATACATAATGTCCAACACTTGTTGAAGTACCCATATGGCTGATAAATGCTATTAGCTTGTATTCTGAAGAAAAGGAATACAAATTTTAGATTATGAAAAGAAAAAAAAAAATGAAATATAAATGTATATCTTTCTACATATATAACTAAAAAATATGTGTCTCTCTGTCCTTTATGCATTACTACACTTTTCATCTGATTGCCAAAAATCTTTGGGGGGGGGGGGGGGGGGGGGGGGGGTCACCAGGAGAGATGCCTGAAAGAAACTGCATGGAGGTATGTTGAGCGATAAGAGTTTCCCAGCGGCTACCTAGTTTCACATAGAAGTATTAGATTGTTTGCAAAAGTTCATATCATCTTTTGAACGGTTTCCGGAAATTTAAAGTGTTTTCTGAAAATACTAAATTCCAGATAACTTTCAAAATTTCAGATGTAGGTTATAGGAGCATATTTATATGTTCATATGTATATAAAAGTAAGAAAGAAGTTTGACTAATAGTTATTTAAATTTTACCTGAAAGAAAATCACATATTTTTTAAAAGTAATTACATCTTATGTTATTATAATTATAATATATTAAGTATTTAGTAGTATATAGATATTACTCATTTGTATCAATAGAAAAGTAAAGAAATATGATAACTTACTTTCTGGACCATCTCTAAATTTTGACAACTGAGTTTGACCTCCAGGAGAGTCATCAGTTTCCATAGGTTGATTAAGATCATCTGCATGACTAAATATCCAATCAACTGCTCTTTCTGGATTGTTGTCCTAAGTATTGTATTAAATTAACAGATGACTGAAAACATCTTAATAAAAGAAAGAACAAGATACTATTTTCAAATACAGTACATACTTAATTGGCATAAAGAAATATTTTCCAAGAGTTAACAGAGAAGAAAAAGATATGGCTGAGAATATCATGTTCATGAAATAATGATACTTACGTAGGTGGTTTAAAAAGAATTGAGTAAAATACTAAATGACCTGTGTCATCCCATGGATGAGTCTTTTTATTTATTTTTCAAAACAATTTAGTCTTAAAAATTGATAATCTAATATTTGTTTAAACTGGAATAGTCACTCTGAGGTCATAATGCTTTTTAAAGATGAAATTCCTGACTTAATAAATATAATATTGTTTAAAGAACTATGCAACATTTGTGAAGTTGTTTATAGAGTAGCCTAACCCTAAAAGTTGATGAATTTAAAAGACCATTTTTTTTATCCCCCCCCCCCCCTATATTCAATATGATCCAGATCAAAGTTCAACTTTTTTTAAAAATTAATTCCAAACATTTTTCTGATTTAACAAAAAAAAAAAAAGTCTTTAACTAGTGGATTTTTCATAATTCCAGACATTATCATCTTCTCACAAGCCCTGCCATTAATAGAAAATTATCTAAATTATCTAACATTGATTAGTGTCCATATTGATGGTAAGATTTGTAAACAGTATTCATGAACACAAACTTAATGGATTATCTCTAGATCTACTAAGAAGTTATTTCCTTTACTGTCAGTGAATGTAGCAATTTAGAATCATTAAAAGCTTTTTTTAAAGAAATTAATTACTGATTTTATATCAAACTAGCCATCATTACCCGTTACACGGGCAATTCTGGTGAATTTTAGCTCTCTTCTCTTCACATACGCTACTCAGTTTTTCTTTTAGATATTTATCTCCGGGGAGTGGCACTTAAAACTTGCCGTGGAAGGGTGGATTGGGGGGGGGGGGGGGGGGGGGTTTCTATATTTTTTAATGAAATACTTTTTTTTTAAATTTCATTCCGAGGTGAAAGGAGAAGAAATGGTAGCTGATATTTTATTTTTCTATTATGTATAGATCTATAGATTTAAATGAAATTGAAATAGTTCATTTCTTCATTGGTACCCGTAAATTATAGACCTATATTTCAAATATTTTAAATTTTATACTTGTTTGAGAAATACATTTCATAAATCCTAATATTTTATAAAATAGTTATTGGTCAAATATTTAAAAAAAATAAAAAAATTAAGTTAGTTTTTCCATAGATCTAGAATCCAAATAGATAAAGTAAATTTTATAAGTTTGAAGTTTAGGCCGAGAAAATTGTATTGTATACATTTCATAACGTACGTAGATCTAAATCAAATTTGAATGAAATAGTTCATGATGGCATGAGTTTTGTGTACTTTTCTTAGTGTAAACATTTTGCGTGTGACGTCATTGTTTCATGCGTTCTTGTCACAACTATAAACACTTTTCTGGTTGCATAATTAAAATTGTTTTTCTACATTTAAATACACCTTTATTTTTTATTTTTCTTCTTTAAATAAAATTTTGTTTATAGATTTAAAACATCTATCATATATTTTGTTTGCGCTTTTTTCTGTTTGCGATTTTTTCCGTTTGCGCTTTTTTTCGTGCGCTTTTTTCCGTTGCGCTTTTTGTTTTGCGCTTTTTTTCCGTTGCGCTTTTTTCCGTTGTGGTTCTTTCTGGGAACCATTTTAAATAAATTTCAGTATATTTTTAAAATTAAGAAATCTGAATTGCAATTTAATATATTTTTTTTTCATTTCAACCCTACAATTTAACAAAAATGAAATTTTTTTTTTAACATTAAGCTAATTTCAAACGTAATGATATAGCTGCTTTCTTTGTTATCAATTTAATTAAAGTGTCTTATATTGGTAACAGCCTAAAGTTGGAGGTTATGTGATGGAAAATGAAATAGACCAAGACCAGTTAAGCTGAAATTCCATTGCAGGGGCTTAGTACTTATTTTATGGGACAGCGTGGCCTAAGCGGTAGAGTGCCACACTGCTAACCTGAAAGTCTTGAGTTTGAATCCAGGTTCAAGTCAGTACAGTGTCCCTTAGTCCACCCATTTCTGATGAGTACCTAACTCATGGTAAGGAAAGGGCTGACCCCACCTTCCCTTCATATGCTGAGGTCAAGAAACATATAAACTCTACTTCATCTGTCCAATGGATTGCTTGGTCTAAATATGATTCTTTACTTTCTACCACTTATTTAAACTGTTTTGTAATTAATGTTTATTAGTAGCCACATCATTATTTATGCTTTTAGGCTAATACAGGGGTCTCCAAACTATGGCCCGCGGGCTGAATGCGGCCCGCGAGGTCATTTCATCCGGCCCGCGACCATCTTTTTGTCCACTGAATAAATGTTGTTAGAGGTGACTGAGGGACTTTGCACAGAAAATTCAAAACAATTTGAAATTGTAGCTTTGGGTGCAAATACCATTGCCTGCCGTGTTGCAGACATTGATGACTCAAATAGCGAAATATGCAAGCAAGTTTCGCAATTTTTTAATTGTAATGGATCAGTTGCTGTACAGCTGTTCCACATCTCAACTGCTTATGTTCATTAGAAGTGTGGATGAAGACATAAACATAACACAAGAGCTGGCTTCCCTACATGGAATGTATGGCACTGCTACTGGAGAGGATATCTAATCATAGATAGTTCAGAGACATACACAAAATCGCAAGATTTACCATTTTCAAATCAGTAAGATGGCTAGTTTTGCGAGAAAGCTCTGAGCAGAGTATTTAAGTCAAGAAAGGAAATAGGTGACTTCCTTAAAAGTAAAGGCAAGCCACAGCCATTATTGTCTGATAAAGAGTGGGTATAGAAATTGGTCTCTGCTGCAGACATAACTAGTCATTTAAATGTTGTGAACCTAAAACGGCAAGAGAGGGAAATCTACTTTCTATACACCCACCTAAAGGCCTTCAGATCCAAACTTGTCATGTATTTGGAACAAGTACAGGCCAACAACTTGACGCACTTTCAGCAGTGCAAGTTCTTTACGGCTGAAGCAACCAATGAATTCCCCAAGTCATTTACATATGATCATCAAAGACCTCCAGCTGCAGTTTAAGTAGGTTCTCTGACTTGGATTCAAAGGCAGAAGAAGTGAGACAGCTTCAATGCCCATTTAAAGCAAATGTGGCCAGTTACAAAGATGAACTGCAGTTTAAGGTCCTTGAATTGCAAGAAAATGACTTCCTTAGAGACATGTTCAAAGAAGGGCGGATTGGTTTTCATAAGTTTTTGCACAAGTATGACTTCCCTAATATTAAAGCTTCTGCATCAAAGTACCTTTCAAATTTTAAAACAACATACCTGAGTGAACAACAATGTTTGGGATTGGCATATTTCTTTAATAATTATTTTTTAAAACTTTCATTAAGAGAAAAAACAGTTAAAAAATATAGGCACCCATCCTATAGATCTATCTAAGTAAGTGGTTTTTAGCCTGGATTTAATCAAACCCTGTGGGTTTAGAGAGTCAAACTTAGGGGTTTGGTGGAGTTCAAAACACACACCCTACTCATGATAATTCACGCCTGGATTTTGTTAGTGCGGACAATAGACCTATTCTGAAGGGTTCTGAGAATGCAGATTTGAAACTAGTGGAGTTTGGTACCTCAAAAAAAGGTTAAGAAACACTATTTAACTATAACTTGTCGACTAAAAATAAATTTCCGTAGGAATTTCAAGAAATTCCAGAAGAGTTTTTGAATTTCAAGATATTTCCAGGTGGTATTTTTCTTTGAAATTTCAATAGAATTCAGGGAGGACTTGGCAATTTTTGAGATTTCATGTGTTTTCCAGGACCTGGAATTTTAGGTGGCTGCACAAATCAGAAATACACTAGATCTAATAGCATTAAACTACAAAATCTTACCACAAACAAAGTGTGGTAAGAAAAGAAAGTGTGAAAATTAAACTTACAGTAAATTTTAATGCTCGAGTTGCTTGCTCCATAGAAAAACCCATTGACATTAAAAGTTCCACACCCACTTGATTGGGTTCAAAAGGTTTTCCTTCTTGCAAAATGTTATTATTGCCAGTTTTTAAAGGGGTTGCAAAATCTTAAGAAAAAGAAAAAAAACTATGTATAAAACCATTGTGAAGAAACAAAATTATTTAAATGTAAATTATTTCACATTTTAAAATAAAATAGCAAATTATAAAACATTATTTTACTTTATTTGATTTTAGTCTCCTGAAAAAAAGGTGTGTATTTATAGACAAGTGAACTTGTTTTCTAAAACAGAGTTATTTTAATGTAAACAAAGCCCAGGTTATATTTCTTATATCTTAGTTGTAGTAATGGTGCGGGTTTGTACACAATACTGCCTATGGCATGCTGTTTGAAAGCCTTGAATTTATGTTAATCAGCAATCAGCATCATTAATTATGCAAATGCCCAGGTTTCAGGTGCGCCACTGTTTACCCTGGTTCAGTTTAGTTAAGTAGTAGCCCAATGTGTCCATAGTTTAAGGTGCACTTTAAAACGATTGTAAGCTCCATAGTACACATAGTGGATCTATGAGTCACCTGACTGCAATTTATTCTAAGATAGCCACTCTGAAACTCGAGGTGCCAAACCATGTATTCACAAAAATCGCACCCTACTGGGCGCTGCCCATAAGAAATTTTAACCTTCCCCCTCTCCCAGCAGAAACCTTCTAAGGAGTACTCTCATCAACTCCCCAAAGTTTAATCGCAAAAAAAATAAATAAAATATCTGATGCAGTTAGGACACTGTTCCTTCGAGTGGCACCATTTCTCTTTTCCCAACACCCTACAAAAACAGCCTATGTGGTTGTCAACAAGGACAAGACTGAACATAGTTATTATGTTACTGCGATATAAATAGTTGTGACGTAGCTGGTGTGACTAAAGTAGAATTTTACTTGTCAACTTGATGACAAATGGACATGCTAATAATAGAGATTATGCAAGCGGTGGTACCAAAATAGAATAGTTTGACCTTGATAGACCTTATTGACAACACTGGATGTACAGTTCGGTGTGTCAGGTGTTCACATAAGCTGCGTTACTAATGGGTAGAGAGGAGGAAGCTGTGAGAGAACGATGAGAGGCAGAAAGATGTATCCCCCCCCCCCCCCCCACAAATGTGACGTTATTTATGGAAGGCCCCTTATTAAAAAAAAAATCAGGATACAGTCGGAGTCAAGTTGAGTTCAGCTTTTTTTAAAAATCTGTAGGCCTATTGTAATAGCCTACAGAAACAGCTATTTGGAATTAACTGTGACGTCATTGTATTTATTCCACAAACAAGCAGTGCCAAACACGTACTTGGGGGGGGGGGGGGGGGGGGGGGGAGAGAGGGAGAGAGGTTACAGTGAGGTCACAAGAGCTGCCGTTGCTACAAGGGGAGGGGGCGGGTTAGTCTTGTCCTCATAGTCACCTTTTGTAAGGATTTAAATATTAATTTGAGATTGCGAATTAAAATAGAATCAGAGAGAAACTGTAGTTTTTGGGCGGGTTAAAATACAGATAGATAAATTAGGCTATATCGATAGGTAGAATACCAGGCTTGGGAGTTGCAAGTTTCATTTGAAGAACGGCATTATTTTGGATTACTCTTTTTGTGTTTTTGATAAATTTTTAACTGAAAATAGCTGAAAATCTGGATTAAAAATAAATTTGCGTTCTGAAAAATGCGTAAATCCGCCGAAATTCTGAATCCTGACCGCCATTTAATCTTCATCTAGCATCGTCAAACTTAGCAAAATGAGCATATTCAAGTGTCCGTTTAAACTAAGTACAGTAATTCGCGATTTAAATACAAATATGTAGAATGCGCGTGTCTGCAGTTTCTGTAGATGTAATTACTGGATTTTGTTTTACTTATTTTTAAAACTTCGTAAATAAACCGGGAGTGATCTCCCCTAAACTTTCTCGAATATTCTTATATACTACTACGGAAAAAAAATTTGTATAATAGTGCGGAATAGTATTAGTATTTTATAAATTCACATACGTTTTTTGAGAAATTACTACTTCCGGTCAATGGAAATTACTCAAAATTTGATAAAATCAGATCGTTTACTTACATGTTAAATTTCATTTATCTATCTGAAATAGTACTCAAGTTATTGGCTTTTGAAAAATTGTAAGTAGAAAAAGTTCCACTTCCGATTATCGGAAATCGTTGAAAAGTTGATATGGATCTACAAATTTAATATGATACTTAGATATGAAATTTCATCAACCTAGCTGTAACGGTACTCAAATTATCGTGTTTACAGACACACATAGATACGGACATAAATTTATTTCATAGTTGCCACTGGTTTTACTCTTTCGCATAACGCAAAGAAAATATTAAATACACGCAAATAGCAAAAAAAAAAAAAAACCCAAATTAAACGGATCAATGTCAAATATTTTCGTTTTGATTCCTAGAAAAAGTGGATTTACTTTAATAACATAATAACAGTAGGGAAGAAAAATCTAATTAATTAAACTGTTTTGTAATTTTGCCAAGGGAGGTTATTTAAAAATAAATTCAACTCACGCTAAAAAAATGTGAATGCAAAATCTCGAAGACGGAATAATTGTTGGAATAATATAATTAGCAAAATATGAATGCAAATTATGCAGACATGTAAGAGGAAATCATTGTTGAAATATTATAATTAGCATGGATTGATAAAAGGCTATCTTTTATTTATTTTATTCACTGAACGTACTGTTTACTAATTATAATTTTTAATCAACTATTCCCCACTATTATATAAAGTCATCACGATTATTTAGGTGCACAATGGTTTTAGTAATGAAACTTTATTGTAAATTTTAAAGAGTACTCAAAAAAAAAAAAAATGCATGAATTGATAATGTGCAATATGGTCGGTAAAACATGTATATTTTAAATACTGCCTTTTATTTATTTTATAAACTGAACGTACTGTTTACTAATTATTATTCTATCTTTCGGTTTGCGGACAAGCTAGGGGTTTTATGGTCATTTACTGAGTCAGGAGCGTCTGCCGGCGCTTGGACAGGGCGCGATTTGGCGCCACGGGCTAGACCGTGAGCACTATGCGTTTATGATTGCATTTAAATTGTGTTTACGTTATGAGTGTTGTGTTTGTTTTTTTTGTTTTTTTTTTGCATTTGTTTGTGTTGTGTTTAGTTTTGTTTCCAAATTGGTACATTTAAAAAAGGTTTACCGTGGCAGAGCACGGGTATGCAGCTAGTATATATGTTACGGTCAAAGCCCGAAGTGCGGCTAAAGCCCGCATTGGCCGGCTCTCTTGGCCAAAGTCTGCATTGGCCGGCTCTCTTGGCCAAAGCCAGCATTGGCCGGCTCTCTTGGCCAAAGCCCGTAGAACTTAGCATTAAGAACGTATTTCGTACATTGGCCGGCCAATGCGCGCACTGGCCGGGTTGTCCTGGTCAATGTCCTATCTAAACTAAGTTGTGATCCCGTTTTCATTATTCTGGGTGCGGTTTCATTGTGAGTAACATATTGTTTGGCTCTTATATAGCATTCTATATGCAATGCGACTTGGACTAAAAGGACTGTCAGATCAAGAGACAGACATACCAGATGGCTGCCAAAATAAATAATCCAAATCCTAAATGGAAGAAAATGTGTGAATCATGTTATTTCTGAACTAAACAATATGTGTCCTGAACTTAAACTAGTTCACAGACAACCAAGGCATAGCCAAAGCCAATGTTCAGTAGAACATCAGTAGATGTTCAAAACATGATGATGACAAGAATGCAGAAAAATGAATCAGCTTATTGGGCTGAGAGTCTTAAATTCATTCAATTTATGAAAAACCGTAATTTTCATCAAGGAATCCAACAATCGACATACAAAACCTTGTTTGGATGCAAAGCAAAAGTGGGACTTAGCACTTCAAATCTATCAAGAGAGGCTCGATAACTTAGCTACTGAGGAAGATCTTGAGAACATTAAACAAGAAAAGGAGGTTGCCAAAATGCAACGACAACCTCAGCCAACACATCTGCTGCCATGGCGCAACGTTCAGACCAGTTGCGTGACAATAATATGGTCAACAGATTATGTGTAGTTCGTGAAAAATATTGCAGTGCAGCCCATTCTTGTGGATCTTGTGGCAACGATGTCCATGCAATATGCGGAATAGCCAATGAAGCAGACGAAGGGCATGGAGGGAACAGTACTCGCAGAATATGTCACAATAAACAAGAAACCATGGACAACAGGTTAGCAGCTCAGCTCATACTAACTTGCAAACTCAAGGTGGTAAGATGCTAACAAAATTTAAACAAGCTTAAGTGGGAGATACTGGTCGCATCCATATTCCAAATATTGACAGAGGTCGCGGTGATCCCCAAAGTGTCATTGCAGTTGTCAAGAGCGTCGAGGGCGCTTTCTACAAGCTAAGAAAGGAACATGGTGTTCTAAACAACTATATGCTAGAAGTGAGTTTTCAATTCTTCACGAAAAACTGCTCTCATTGTCGCCCGTTGGCACTGAGGAAAATCACTACGAACCATCGCATTTTCATAATCACTGACCGGTGGCCAAGGCTACATTTACTGCAATTGAACAACTTAGTGCACAACAAACCGCTGCAAGTGTAAAAATAACAATGTAATTCTAGATTATAATCAACAAAGACTTAATTTTTATGATCCTTACTGTAAAAAAACCCCCAAAATCTGCTCATGATCTTCTAATTAATTCGGACTTTGACCGGTCGTCCCTAGCCAGATGATCTTCTAATTCGGATTAGCCGGTCCACCATGGCCAGTCCGCGGATTGGCCGGCCAAAGACCGAAATGAAGTAAAGTTTTGGACTTTGGCCGATCAATGGGAGGCGATATTGACCAATGCGCACTTTGGCCGACTTCGGGCTTTGACAGTAACATATATATATATATAGGGTTGTAGGACAAAAGGCCGACATCCAAAAGGCAGACTAGACATAAGGCCGACACGGACAAAAAGCAGACACAGACAAAAGGCCGACATGGACAAAAGGCCGACAGGACATAAGGCCGACAGACCATAAGGCCGACAAGCATAAAAAATACTAATATCGCAAAAGTTGTGTTA